CTCGGAGATAATTTGATCCCAATCCTTAATATTAACAGTCAATCAAGAGGCAGATCACAGTATAAACTTAAAAAAAAACTTACTCGCTATTAAAGATTTACAAAAAAAAGACATTAAAGTTTTATAAGTCTTAAAAATCAAACACTTGCTGATCAGGCTAAAAAACCAAAGGTCGTCTTCTTCTGTAGTTTCAGGCAGTGATTTTGTTTCAAAATCAATTAAATCTCTGCAGAGCTGAGAGACCCCACCGCCCCACACACACACACACACATCAGCTCTGGAACTTCACTGCTTGTTTGTTTAGTGAAACACAATCTCCAGAGCCCTTGTGCAATTTCTCATTCTGACAGCTGTGAAACTTCACTCGTTGGCTGCTTATAATAGCTGATCTCAGAGCCCCCCAACGGGATTTCTCAAACATGGTGTTGTTAGAAAAGGAAACAGGAACATTCGCAAAAAGGGGAACTCAGACAGGCCACAGAGGCAGTCAAAACTCTGGGTAGAATTGAGGTATCAACAGCCAGGTACAGTTTTACAGTAAGGGGCAGGTGGTGTAGAAGGGATTGAAGGAAAATCTTTTTCATTCTGAAGGTTGGGAGTATTGGGAAATCACTGCCCAAAAGGATGGTAGAAGCAGGAACCCTCAAAATATTTAAAAATATTTGAACACTTGAACACAACTACAGGTCGAGTGCTGGCAAATGGGATTAAAATAGCTCCTACAAGCTGCAGTCCCCACCAGCTTCAGGAAGGCCACCATCATGTCTGTACACAAGAAAACACATGCAGTGTGCCTTAATGACCACTGCCTAATAGCTCTGACTTCAATAATCATGAATTGCTTTGAGAGGCACGTCATGGCCCACATTAACTCCAGTCTCCCAACCTGCCCCGAGCCCCTACAGTTTGCCTACTGACATAACAGATCCATAAAGGATGCCATGTCACTAGCCCTGCACTCATCCCTGGAACATCTGGACATCAAAGACACCTATGTCAGACTCCTGCTCATTGACTACAGTTCTGCCTTCAACACCATTATCTCCTCCAGACTGATCTCAAAACTCCAAGACCCAGGTCTCTGCTCTGCCCTCTTCAACTGGATCCTCAGCTTTCTGACCCATAGGCCGCAATCAGTGAAGATAGGTAACTGCACCTCCTCCACAGTAATACTCAACACTGGAGACCCCAAGGATACATCCTCAGCCCCCTACTGTACTGCTTGTACACCTACGACTGTGTTGCCAAATTCCGAATGAACACTACCTACAAATTCGCTGATGACACCACAGTAGTGGAACGGATATCTAACAACAACGAGTCAAACTACAGAAGGGAAATAGAGGGCTTGGTGACGTGGTGCAATTAAAACAATCTGTCTCTCAATGTCGGCAAAACTAAAAAACTGATCATCAGCTTCAGAAAGAAAGGAGGAGAACATGCCCCCATCCACATCAACGGAACTGAGATTGAAAGGGTGGATAGCATCAAGTTCCTTGGAGTGACAACAACCGAGGGCCTGTCCTGGACTTCCGATGTATATGCGACAGTCAAGAAGGTGCAACAACCCTCTCCTTCTTCAGGCGGCTCAGGAAATTTGGCATGTCCATAAGGCCCCTCGTCACTTCTACAGATGCACCATTGGAAAATTACTGTCCGGGTGCATAATGGCCTGGTATGGCAACTGTTCTGCCCAGAACAGTAAGAAACTATAGAAGGTGGTATGCACAGCACAGACCATCACTGAAGCCAACCTTCCATCCATGGACTCCATTTACACAGCTCGCTGCTGCAGAAAGGCTGCCAACATCATCAAAGACCCATCACACCCCAGTAATCATCTCCTACAACTTCTTCCGTCAAGATACAGAGGCCTGAACACACACATGAGCAGGTTCAGGAACAGCTTCTTCCCGGTCGTTATCAGACTGATGGATGGACTTTCTAGCCTCAAATAATGGTGATCTTCTAATGTTGATTTTGTCTAGCATGTGTCCTGTGCAACAGAACCTGTATGCCTCTGTCTAAGTCTTTTGATCATACATCCTTTGCTTACAATGATCTGCCTGTACCGCTTGTAAACAAAGCTTTTCACCTGTATTTCGGTGACAATAAATCAATCAATCAATAGATGGATGTTTGATGGATGGGCTGAAGGTCCTCTTTCCGTGCTGTAAAATCTCTATGACTCTATTTTCAGAAATAACTGCAATTCTTTGTGGGAGTTATCCTCCCTCCAGCACTGATACAATAATGGGATACACTGCAAAAAGAAGGATCTATCCTTTGGCTCCTTCTATCTGCAAACTATCCCTCAGTGAGATCTTCCAAAAATATGTTCTGCATATACACTGAGGTGTATCTTTTCTCCTGCCTGTGCCCTATCCAGGCCAGGAGGAGCCACAGGTTCCTTTACCTCAATATCAGGAACGGGAGGTGAAGAAAAAATAAAAACCAAAAGAACTGCGGATGCTGTAAATCAGGAACAAAAACAGAAGTTGCTGGAAAAGCTCAGCAGGTCTGGCAGCATCTGTGAAGAGAAAATCAGAGTTAATGTTTCAGGTCTGGCGGCCCTTCCTCAGAACACTTAGTCTCTTCACAGATGCTGCCAGACCTGCTGAGCTTTTCTAGCAACTTCTGTTTTTATACAGGAGGTGAAGAGACCAGTTGGCACAGGTTTCTGATCTGCCATGCAGTCAATCATGGCTGATCAACCCCACTTACCTACCTTTTCACATGTTCCTCATTGTAACAAGTTCTTATTTATTTTGTCTTAAACGCGCTGAACAAGGCAGACTTGTGGTGCAGTGGGTGGTGTCCCTGCCTCTGGGCCAGAAGCTCCAGGTTTCAGCCCCACCCCAGGATGTGATGATCAAGGACAGTATGTACCAAGGCTGAAGAAGGCTGCATCTCAACCTGTGAATCCTTCTGACACACACCAGTGACAGCAGGTGAGAATGGCAGAGGTTCCTGGTCAGCTCTGTGATGGAAAGACAATTGGAACCTCAGCCAACAGTCTCTGGGCTACAACACAAGGAAATTGCTGTAACACATTGCTACAGTCAATGAAACATTCCCCTGTTGGATGGATCGTGTGGATCAGACTTGTGCCAACAGTAAGGAGCCTGATCTCTGTTCTGGCTGTAGTAGATGCTGGACCCTGTCTCCTTGCCTTGCCTGTAGTGAAGATGGTGCCACTGTAGTTCACAACTACCTTTGGACAGAGAACTAAAGGAGATATTTTAATGAATCAGCATGCACAGCGCTTAGGGATAAGGCAAGGTTGAAGATTCACAAGTGAAGAAGTCTCTCCTCATCTCAGCCTGAATAGGCTGGAATCTTATCCTGAGACTGAGAGCTGCAGTTATAGATGTCCAGCCAGGGAGGGAAACAGCCTCTCAGCGCCTGCCTGCAAACTCCAATCAGTGATTTTACAGTGAGATCGCTTCTCATTCTTCTAAACCAGAGAATGGAACCCCATTCTACTCATTGGTCCTTCCACAGACTTCACTTGCTAACCACCTAACACCGTCCCTGTCCAAAATGTTGAACCAAATTTTCCACCACTTGGTCAGCCTGTTTCGTTCTGTAGTGAGCTCTGGCACCATATCCTCTCAATCAACAAAAGCCCTCTTCACCACTACAATGTCACAACATATAGAGGTTTATAAAATCATGAGGGGCATGGATGGGGTAAATAGCCAAGGTCTTTTCAACAGGGTGGGGGGGCCCAAAACTAGAGGGCATGGGTTTAAGGTGAGAGGGGAAAGATTTAAAAGGGACCTGAGGGGCAACTTTTTCACACGGAGGGTGGTGCGTGTATGGAATGAGCTGCCAGAGGACGGGGTGGAGGCTGGTACAATTACAACATTTAAAAGGCATCTGAATGGGTATATGAATAGGAAGGGTTTAGAGGGATATGGGCCAAATGCTAGCAAATGGGACTAGATTAATTTAGGATATCTGGTCAGTATAGACGAGTTGGGCTGAAGAGTCTGTTCCATGCTGTACATCTGTATCTATCACATTGGCTGTGGGTCTGGAGTCGCATGTAGGCCAGATCAGGTCAGGATGACAGTTTCCATCCCTGACCAAACGGATTGGATTCATGGTCAGTAATAGACTCTTAATTCCGGATTTTTATTGAATTCGGATTCCGCCATCTGCTGTGGCAGGGTCCCCAGAACATTCCCTGGTCTGTGGATTAACAGCCCTGCAATAATACCACTGGGTCATTGTGTCCCTTTCATACGCAGCTGAAACCCTCATCCATATTGTTAGCTCCAGAATTAACTGTTTCTTGGCTATCAATCCTCTGTAAACCTGAGTTCATTCATTGTATTGTTGTCCAAAACCTACCTTGCACCTCAGCACCATCCTCCCCTCCGTGGTAACCTATGGTGGTTCCTTAGCTAGTAATAATGCTTTGATTTCAAGGTTCACACCCTGGTTTTAAATTCTGTTGTGATCTTGCTTATCCCAAGGTCTCTCAGCTTGCCCTCTCCATGATTTCTTCACCATTTCAGTTCTGGCCTCCTGTGAATCCCCCAATTCCTCATTTCACCATTAGCAGATGTGCTTTCAGCTTCTACAATCATACAATCATAGCTTCTACAATCCATACAGTGCAGAAAGAGGCCATTCAGCCCATTGAGCCCACACCAATCCTCCGAAGAGCATCCCACCCAGACCTAGCCCCCAACCCTATCCACATAACTTTGTATTTACCATAGCTAACCCACCTAGCCAGCACAATTGGTGTGAAAGCACCCCTGAACCTGGGATTGATACAGGGATACTTAGAGTTCAGTCTAACACTCTCCCAAGTGAGCTATTTCCACCCAGCATGTCCTGAAATTCCCTCCCAAATCCTTTTCACCTCTTCATCTTCCTCCTTTAAAACCATCTGTCACCATGCTCAAGCCTCCTATTATCTCCTGTACTGACTCTGTGATGCACTGTTCCCTCCCCGTCTTATGACACATTCACAAATTCCTCCTTCACCTCAGTGTCTCTTTGATGACAGCCCTCAGCAGGGACATTTTGCTGAGATCCTGAGCTGTTGGGATCTTCTCTCCTGGACAGCTGCTCCATATCTCCCTGAAGACGGATTCTTGAATTTCAGGACTTTTGGCCAGAGAGTACAGGGCCCAGGACAAGGTGTTTGCCGTCTGCAATGTAAAAGGCTTTCATTCAGTCAATTCCAACTAATGTACGTTTTTAATCATTCATTCATAGGATGTGGGAATCACTAGCTCGGCCAGCATTTATTGCCCACCTCTAATTACCCAGAGGGCAGTTAAAAGTCAACCACATTGTTGTAGGTCTGGAGTCACATGAAGGCGATGGCCCAGTCGTATTATTGTTGGATTGTTAGTCCAGAGACCCAGGTAACGTTCTGGGGACCCGGGTTTGAATCCTGCCACAGCAGATGGTGGAATTTGAACTCCATAAATATCTGCAATTAAGAATCTAATGATGATCATGAATTGATTGTTGGAAAAAACAATCTGGTTCACTAATGTCCTTTAGGGAAGGAAACTGCCATCCTTACCTGGTCTGGCCTACATGTGATTCCAGATCCACAGCAATGTGGTTGACTCTTAACTGCCCTCTGGGCAATTAGGGATGGGCAATAAATGATGCCTGGCCAGTGACGCCCTCATCCCGTGAATGAATAAAGGAAAACAAAATGTAGACCAGACCAGGTGAGGATGGCAGTTTCCTTCCCTTAAGGACATTGATGAACCAGATTAATTCTTTGTGCCCCCCATCCCCAACAATCAACAACAGTTTCTTGGTCATCATTGACTCTAAATTCCAGATTTTCATTAAATTCCAATTTCACCATCTGCTGTGACAGGATTTGAACACTGGTTCCCCAGAACACAACCTGGGTCTCTGGATTAATAGTTTCACAATAATACCCACTAGGCCATCACCTCCCCAGTTGCAGAGATTCTGGGAGGTGGCAGGGAAGCAAGAAGCAATTGATTGGCATTCCAACAACCTTTACTTATACAGGACCTTTATGAAACCATCGAATGGTTACAACACAGATAAGACCATTTGGCCCATCATGACAGTGCTAATTCTCTGCAAGAGTAATTGATGTATTTCCACTCACCTGCCTTTTCCCTGTAGCCATGCAACATTTCTTCTTCGGATAATGATCCAATTCTCTTTTGAAAGCCTCAATTGAAACTGCCTCCAACTCATAAGTGACGCATTCCAGATCCTAAAACTCGCTGCATGGCACAGTTTCGCCTCATGTTCTCCATTGCTTCTTCCTCCAGTTACCTTCAATTCTTCCATCTGCTTCTCCCTAGTTACTCTGACCAGACCTCTCAAGATTTTGGAAACCTCAATCAAATCTCTCAGTTTTCTCTCCTCCAAGTAAAATATGCCCATCCTCTCCCATCCGTCCAGGAATCAAGTTCCTCATTTATGGAACTATTCCCGTGAATCATTTCTGGCCTGTTTCTAATGCCTCACATCTTACCTGGTCCATAACCAAAGACAACACTCTAGTTGAGGCTGACCTCGTGTTTACACAGTTTTATCAGACCTTCACTGCTCTTGTACTCTATTGTGTGATTAATGAAACCCAGGATCCCGTAAGCTTTATTAAAATGACCTGTGATCATCAATGATGTGTACACCAGGTCCCTCTGCTCCTGCACCTCTTTCAGAATTGCACCCTATATTTTACATTTTCACTCTGTATTCATCCTGCCAAAATGAATCACTTCACACTTCTCTGTGTTAAATTTTATCTGCCACTTGTTCATTCATTTCACCAACTTGTCCATGTCCTTCTAAAGTGCTACAGTGTCCACCTCATAGTGTTACTCTGGTTCACCAAGTCTCGGTCATTAAAGCTAGGGTCCTAAAATCAACTCCATTATAAATCTCCCTCCAATCTGACAAAATATCAATTAATTGTAACTGTCTCCTTTATTCACATTGCCACTTCACTTTTTATTCCAAGCTGTAATTTTACTCATAAGTCTGTTGTGTGGCACTGTATTAAAAACCTTCTAGAAATCCACTTAACCACATCAGAAAAAAAAAACTTAAGCAAGTTAGTTAAAAATAATTTTCTCTCAATCAATTCAATATTTAATTAAGCCATTTTTGGTCAGGCAGCTATCAATTTTGATGCAAATTATTATTTCTAGAAACTTCCAAACTGCTGAGGTTACATTGACTTTAGTCTATAAAGTTCCAAAGCCAGAATGTCACACTGAACCAAATAAGGAGAGATTAGGGCAGATGACGACGAGTTAGATTTTATAAGATCATAAGATAAAAGAGCAGGAGTAGGCCATTCAGCCCGTCAGGCCTGCTCCACCATTCAATAGGGTCATGGCTGATCTGACATTCCTCATGTTCTGTAACCCTTTGTTCACCTACTGCTCGGGAATTGATATAGTCTGTCAAAAACCATTTCCTCCACATCCAATTGTAGAAGGGAAGCTTGCATTCTCTGTGAATGTAACATTCAGTGTGCACTCAGTTCCAGGAGTTAGGGATAGTACCACTGCATCACAAGAGGGCCTCCCAATAAACATGTAGATTGTATTCCTGTTCCAGCATAATGTTTGTTGTTGTTTGTTCAAATCCATGGAACCTCGTGGCTTTATTCTCTTAGCAAGTCCCCTGGATCTCACCTTTCTCTTTGACTTTAACATAAAGTTACCTCGTCCCTTGGCACGCTGGCTCAGTGGTTAGCACTGCTGCCTCACAGCACTAGGGACCCGGGTTCGATTCCAGCCTCGGGTGACTGTCCATGTGGAGTTTGCACATTCTCCCTGTGTCTGTCTGGGTTTCCCCCCACAGTCCAAAGATGTGCAGGTTAGGTGGATTGACCATGGGAAATTGCCCATAATGTGCAGGTTAGGATGGATTGACCATGGGAAATTTCCCATAGTTTGCAGGGATGTGCAGGTTAGGATGGATTGACCATGGGAAATTTCCCTGTAGTGTCCAGGGATGTGCAGGTTAGGAAGGATTGAACATGGGAAATTTCCCTGTAGTGTCCAGGGATGTGCAGCCTAATAGGATGGGGGGTGGGGTGAGTCTGGATAGGGTGCTCTTTGGAGGGTTGATGTGAACTTGCCTCACAGTGCCAGGGACCTGGGTTCATTTTCAGCCTTGGGTGACTGTGTGGAGTTTGCACCCATGTCTGTGCTGGGTCCAAATGGTCTGTTTCCACGCTGTAGGGATTCTATGAAATGGTTCTAACCAGATCATAACATAAAGCTACCCACCTGGTCTGGGATAATCAACAATAGCATCTTTATTTTATTCATTCATAGGGTGTGAGCATCACTGACTAGGTCAGCATTTATTGCCCAGAGGGCAGTTGGAGTCAATCACATTGCTTTGGGTCTGGAGTCATATATAGGCCAGACCAGATGAGGGTGGCAGATTTCCTCCCCTGCGACATTAGTGAACCAGATGGGTTTTTCCAACAATTGGCAATGGATCCATGGTCATAGAAACATAGAAGAAAGGACCAGGAGGAGGCCATTCGGCCCTTTGAGCCTGCTCCGCCATTCATCACAATCATGGCTGAATGCCCTACTCAATAGTCTAATCCTGCTTTCTCCCCATAACCTTTAATCCCATTTGCCCCAAGCGCTAGATCTAGTCACCTCTTGAACACATTCAATGTTTTGGCACCAACTACTTCCTGTGGTAACGAATCCCACAGGTTCACCACTCTTTGGGTGAAGAAATGTCTCCTCATCTCCGTCCTAAATGGTCTACCCGAATCCTCAGTCTGTGACCCCTGGTTCTCATTAGACTTTTCATTGTATTCAAATTCCACCATCTGCCATGGTGGGATTTGAACCCAGGTCCCCAGAACCTTACATGGGTTTCCAGATTACTAGTCTAGCAATAATATCATTAGGCCATCATCTCCCCACATGAAAGAGGAGAAGGACGAGAGAGGCAGCTGAAGGCACAGGCCCCAGGCGTAGATTGGTGAGCAAGAGGCCAGAAGTAGAGAGCATAGGGTCCTATTCACTAACCCCACATACCATCCTACTCCCAACCATTCACTGAGATTCCACACCACGGCCCACTCCCTGAGAACAATCTTGAAGTTCTGATGATCACTGACCGTGTCCACTCCAGCCAAAAGGAGCTCAGTGATGCTGCTGTACATCTCAGACTGGCTCATCTTCTCATTGGCCAGCAGGTGGGTCAGATACTGCCCCTCCACTGAATGCCCAGCATCCATCAGTTTTTGAATCTGCACCATCTTCTTGTCCACAGCCTTTATAGCTATAGAGAAAAGAGGCAAGAGACACAATTGGAAATGTTCTTTCTGCTTTCGTGGGATGTAGGCATCACTGGGCAAGGCCAGCACTTGTTTCCCATCCCCAACTGCCCTTGAGCTGATTGCCTTTGCTGATGATTTCACAGGCCGGTCAAGCATCAACCACAACAGAAATAGAAATAAGAGTTAACATTTCAGGTCCAGTGACCCTTCCCCAGGCACTTGAGGAGCTTGAGTTCTCAGGAAGGGTCACCGGACCCAAAACGCTAACTCTGATTTCTCTTCACAGATGCTGTCAGACCTGTTGAGCTTTTCCAGCAACTTTTGTTTTTGTTTCTGATTTACAGCATCCGCAGTTCTTTAGGTTTTTACAACAGAAACAGAAATTGCTGGAGAAACTCAGCAGGTCTGGCAGCATCTGTGGAGAGAGAAACAGATTTAACGTTTCAGGTCTAGTGACCATCCTTCAAATTGGAAGCTTTCTCTCCACAGATACTGCCAGCTCTGCTGAGTTTCTCCAGCCATTCCAGTTTTTGTTTCAGATTTCCAGCATCCACAGTTTTTCACTTTTGATGGGATTAAAACCATATTGCTGTAGTCTGGAGTCACCTATAAGCCAGGCCGGGTAAGAGATGGCAGATTTTTGTTACTGAAGGATGTTAGTAAATTATACAGACAGACCCCAGGTTGTGAATGAGTTCTGTCTGCAAGCTGATTTTTTCACAGGTTAGAACACAAAGCAGAATATAAAGGAGCAGTTTGTAAGTACAGGAAGTGTTCTATGTTAAATCCTTAAAATTACACCCCTCCATATCTTTTTAAACATGAATCAATGATAGCTGATGCAGTCAGCATCACTAGCTCTCAAGTCCAGACTTATTAGTGGAACTGAAATTCCACCAGTTGCTATGGAAAGATTTGAACTTGTTCACCCCCAGCCTGATAGTCCAAGTCTCTAGTTAGTATTACCAGAGATAGTAAGAACTGCCAATCCTGGAGTCTGAGATCACACAGTGTGGAGCTGGAGGAAGGGTCTGAAGAAGGGTCCCAACCTGAAACGTCAGCTTTCCCATTCCTCTGAAGCTGCCTGGTCTGCTGTGTTCCTCCAGCTCCACACTGTGTTATCTAGTTACGTTACCATCTCCAGTAACTAGTACACACTCCTCAGTTCACTTCAACCACCTGCTATACTCATGTTTGCATGAGTGGACAGGCGATTATAAATGATAAAACTGTGTTTGTTGGAAAACATCGCAGATACCAATACTGAAATGATGACCAGTAGAATCATAGGATCCCTACAGTGTGGAACCAGGCCATTCAGTCCACACTGACCCTCCAAAGAGCATCTGACCCAGACCTACCTTATCCCTGCGTTTCTCATGGCCAACCCACCTATCCTGTACATCTTCAGACTGTGGGAGGAAACCCACTCAGACAATGTGCAAACTCCACATTGAGAGTCACCCGAGGGTAGAATAAAACCTGGGTCCCTGGTGTTATGAGGCAGCAGTGCTAACCACTGAGCCACCGTGCCACACAATAGTCTGGCAAATCTCATAATTAGGCTGTGGAGAGGAATTTAACTTAATTAATGGGATGGAAGGGTGCCCATGAGGGAAAATCTGGAAAGTTAAAGAGAAAGGATAAGGCAATAGTTCAAGGCAGTAACATGGATAATGATAGCCTCAGTGAGACAGAAAGGGACAGTACATACAAACATAAGTACAAACTAGCAAGTCAGGGAAAATACCTTTAAACTAACCAAGGGAAAGGAGGTTAGAGGGTGAAAGGAGATTGAGAAAGATGAAAGTTTAGGCAGTACATTCTTGTGGTTAAAGACAATCTGAATGGAACAGGAAGAGAGTTTAACAGTATTAATGCAGTGCAGAGTAAGATTGAAACAAAAACAGAAATTGCTGTAGAAATTCAGCAGGTCTGGCAGCATCTGTGGAGAGAGAAACAGAGTTAACGTTTTCAGTCTAATATTCTTCTGAAGAGCCATATTTCAGATCTCCAGCATCCACAATACCCTAAATGAACTGGTAACATAAAACGAGATGAATGCTTTAAATCCAATTGCCATCACAGAGACATGGTTATAATGTGACCGAGATTGCTAAATAAACATTGAAAAGACAAGCAGAATGGAAAACAAAGGGGGATAGCCCTGGTAATGAAGTATAATGTCAAATTACATTAATGAGAAATGATCTTGGCTCAGAATACAAGGAAGCATTAACAGAATAGATGGAGATTAGGAATAGCAGAAGTCGGGTGTAGTTTACAGGCCCCCTAACTTTAGTTATACCCTTGGACATAGCATTGAACAAGACACTAAAATAAAACAACTGCAGATGTTGGAAATCTGAAACAAAAAGAGAAATTGCTGGAGAAACTCAGCAGGTCTGGCAGCATCTATGGAGAGAAAGCAGAATTAAAGTTTCAGGTCCAGTGACCCTTCTTCAGAACAAGAGTCTCTGGGCCCCAAACATTAACTCTGTTTTCTCTCCACAGATGCTGCCAGACCTGCTGAGTTTTTCTATTGATTTGACATTATCGGAGCTTGTAACAAAGGTAGTGTATTAGTAAAGGGAGATGTTAATGCTCATAAAAACTGTATCAATCAAATTGGCAAAGGTGGTGGAAGATGGTTTTGTAGAATTCATAGGATCATACAGTAGACAAGAAACCCTTAAGCCCATCAAGGCTGTACTGTTAAGTTCTTTCATGACAGTTCCCAGGAACAATATGTTGTCAACAAAGTAAGAATAAAGCTATTTTAGATCGTGTTGTATAATAATTAGAAACCTCACATTAAAACTCCATTAGGAAATAGTGCTCATTGAATACCACATTAAATTTGAAATTTACATTTTCTAATCACAATGAGAATTGTAAATGAACCCACGTTGTAGGTAAGAAAGGAGATCTGGTTGAGGTTGATTGGAAAATAAACTATAGGTATGGAAATAAATAAAGTGGGAAACAATTAAAGAAAAGTTCAAAATATTACACACAAATGCATTCCATTCAAAGGCAAAAGTTCACCGAGAAAGACATGTCTGTGGCCCACATTCAGGTTAGTACTATATTAATGCAGAGATTTTAAAGTTAATGCAGAGTTTTAAAGTTAAAGCGTAGTGGTAAGCCTGAGGATTGGGAGTGTTTTAGAAACCAGCAAAGGGCTACCAAAAGTTGATAAAAAAGGGTAATTTACAAAAAATGAGAGTAATTGGCGAGAATAATTCAAACAGATGATGAGGTTGGTGTCAGAGTAAACACAGAGTTTAGTTATGGTTATGGTTGTTGGAGGCTAATTAAGTGCAGTTGGATATTGAGAGTGAGCATGTGCAGTCATCAGATTGTTGGTGTCAGCAAACAGATCAGGAGTGAGAACATCCCCAAGACAATTTACTTAGATATTAGAACAGGCAGTCCACAGTTTGGTCAAAGAGATCAGTTTTAAGGAGCATCTTTTAAGGAGCGAGACAGAGAAGAGCTTAGGGCCCAGGCAGCTGGAGGGACAGTTGTGTAGTGATTAAAATCAGTGACACTGAAGAGGACAGAGGAGACGAACACAGGGATCTGAGAGCGTTGGCTGAGCCTAAGGCAACAGGCAATGGCAGGGATCCTTGTGTTTCTAAATAGAAGCAGAGCTTATAAAAGCAAGGAAGTGATGCTACACCTCTACAAAATTGGTGCACTGTGTTCAGTCCTGGGCTCCTTATTTAAGGAAGGATGTTAAAGCCCTGAAGGGAGTGTAAAGGTGATTTACTGGAATGATCCCAGGAATATGGGATTTTAAATACAGGGAAGGATTAGAGAAATTGGGCTTATTCTCCTTGGAGCAGAGAAGATTAAGAAGTGACCTGATTTGAGGTGTTCAAAGTTATGAACAATTTTGACAGGGTAAAGGAGGAAATTCCGTTTCCACTAGCTGGTATGTCAGTAACTAGGGGTCATACTTTCAAGATTGTCAGCAAGAGAGCTGAGGACAAACTTCTTTATTTAGACAGTTGTTAGGATTTGGAATGAGCTGCCTGGGAGAGTAGGAGAGGTGGATTCCACAGGAGGTTTCAAAAGGGAGCTGGATATATATTTGAAAGGGATGATGTTAGGGGGCTATGGGGACAGGGCTGGAGAGTGGGACTAGCTGTTGTAGGTTTTTTGGGAGCTGATACAGACATGATGGGTTGAGGAGCCCCCTTCTGTGCTATAAAATCCCATGACTAGACCGTGAAGGGTTTCGAAAATGACGGTATGAATTTTAAAATGAGGTATTTCTGGTTCTGGCAAATTCTGATGTCACCAACAACGGGTTCTAAAACACAAAGAGATTCCTCATACCAAAGTCAAACATGTTGTCCCAGGCCTGAAGGTACTGCTTCCAAAATGGCAGCCAGTTCCTCGTCCACTTTGGGAACAGTTCGCTGTAGCCCAGCGCACGGAACATAGTCCTGACAGAATTGATGAATTTCTGCGTTTCTTCTGGAACCTTCTCCTGCAGACAGCCCAGGCGGATCTCAAGCAGGATAGCAGCAATTACTGTTCAACATGAGGGGCATCACCGTTAGCTCTCACCGGTAACCAGCCACTGCCTCACTAGTTAGATGATTAAATTGACTCGTTATGCTAAAGGGAGGGGGAAACACCCAACAGATAATCCATTAAGACATAGGAGCAGAAGTACACCATTCAGCCGATTTGGTCTTCTCCTCCGTTCAGTGCATTGATGGCTGATCTAATAACCCTCAACTCTACTTTCCTGCCTTTTCCCCAGAACCCTTGATTCCCTTCAAACTCAGAACATTAGCCTGGTACCTCTGGGTCCATTACCAATATGCCACTGGTGTCACAGTCACTCAAGATGTAAAGATGTAAGAGTGGAACCAGATAAAAGCAGTACCTACAAGATAGTTTCTCCTGCCCTGAAAATAATTCAGATGGATTTGTGGGAATAACAGCCCCTTTGCTGGGAATCTAGCCTCATTTCCACTCCCACCCCCACACCTGCCCCCACTAATGCTGTGGTCCAGTAGCCCAGCAGTGGCCTTACCTTCAAAGGTGTACTTCTGCAGTTCCTTAGTAATGTTGTGCACCATGACCCCAGATCCACTTGCCGAGCGCAGACTCTGGATTCGGTTGATGAAATCAGTTGCTACCTCGTTGATAACACCCTGATATAGTGCAGCGTCCTGTGGCTTCAGCATCCTTTTGTTGAGCAAGGCCCGCAGTCTGTACCAGTCCTCACCGTCCCTGGTTAGGGGAAAGACCAGGGAGACTTAAAGGAGATCATTGATTGGTTCGTGGCTGCTTCTTAACATGATGGAATCAACAAGGCATTACACCGCATTATGGTCTTAAGATTTCAAGGCTGACACAGACAGATCTTTAATCAGGAAGGGAATCAAGGGTTATGGGGAAAAGACAGGACAGTGCAGCTGAGGATTATCAGATCAACCATGATCGGTTGCTCAGTGGTTAGCACTGCAGCCTCACAGTGCCAGGGACCTGGGTTCAATCCCACCCTTAAGTGATTGTCTGTGTGGAGTTTGCACATTCTCCCCGTGTCTGTGTGGGTTTCCTCCGGTTTCCTCCCACAGCCCAAAGATTTACAGGTTAGGTGGATTGGCCATGCTAGTGTCCAGTGATGTACAGGTTAGGTGGGTTAGCCCATGGGAAATGCAAGGTTGCAGGGCCACTCTTCAGAAGGTCAGTATGGACTCAATTAGCCAAATGGCCTGCTTCCACACTGTAGGGATTCTATGATCTGATTGAATGGCAGAACAAAGTCAATGGGCCGAATGGTTCAATATTGGTCTATGCAAAATAAAACTGTAATAAACTTGATCAATTTTTAAAAATTCATTCACAGGATGAGGGTATCGCTGGCTAGGGCAGCATTTATTACCCATCCCTAATTACCCAGAGGGCAGTTCAGAGTCAACCACATTGCTGTGGGTCTGGAGTCACATGTAGGCCAGACCAGGTAAGGATGGCAGATTCCTTCACTAAAGGACATTAGAGAACCAGATGGGTTTTTCCAGCAATTGACAATGGACTCATGGTCATCACTAGACTCTTAATTCCAGATATTTATAAGTTTGAAATTCCACCATCTGCTGAGGCGGGATTTGAACCTGGGTCTGTAAAAGCCAAGTGATAATAGCACTAGACCATAACCTCTTGCCTCCAGAGAAACAGATTCATAAATCACTGAAAGTAGGGACACAAGTTAGTAAGATGGGGAAAATAAATCAGCAAACCAAGGGCTGGGCTTCACCTCCACAGCAACAGAGAATGTGTGTTAATCTGATCCAGAATCTTGCTTCGAGCACTCTCCGGGTTATTCTGCACAGCTCCAGATTCCATATTATAAAAAGGATCACAGAGGCACTGGAAAAGGTTTTAAAAGGTTGGAACTCTCAGAAAGACTGAAGAGGCTGAACTCTCCCCTCCAGGGAATAAAGAAGTGACCTGATAGAGATCTTTACAGGGAATCTGAAGGTGTTTAATCGGGAAAGACCTGAAATAGGGGTCTATAAATGTTAGTTATTCACAAATAAATCCAGTGTGAAAGTCAGGAGCAACACCTTTAGCCAGAAAGTGGAGAGCATCAATGATCACAGAAAGTCATGGCAAATAGCACAGATGTATTTAAGAGAGAGTTAGAGCTAAAACAGAATGTAGTTTTGCAGATATTGTATTTTAGAGTAAGACTTTCATTATAAATATTGTACATTTGCAGCTGACAATCTGTACTTTACCCAGGCTGGGAGAACACACAACTACTAACATTTCTTGTTAGCACCCAGTCAGTTTTCATCTCCCTCTTGGCTTATCACAAGCAATTCCTTTGTCTGCCTCTCCCTTTTCTCTCTCTCTCTCTCTCTCAGCACCTCCTGTTTTTGTTTAGTGTTTCCAGAACCAGTCTTTGTGTCAATTCCAGAGAACTTCATGACAGAAGATTCTGTTATTTCATCAGCTGCTTTAGTATCCCGGGGTGGATATCATTTAGTCCCAGAGGTTTAACTATTCTAAGACCCATTATCTTCCCCATATTCCACAATCAAAAAACTCTTACAGCCCAGAGGGAGATTGTTAGGGCTGCTAGTTCTGTCTCCCCTGCTGACGACCCACAGCCTTTAAAAACTTCTCCTTTCTATTCAGGTGCTTATACAATTCCCTTCTGCAATCTGTAATTGAAACTGCACCCACCCCCCACACCACACTCTCAGACAGTACGTTCCAGACCCTAACCACTCAAGTGAATCTGCCTCCCCCACACTCTCATACAGCACATTCCAGACACTAATCTTTCAATTTGCATTTTTTTTTCCACATGTTGCCATCGCTCCCTTTGCCAATCACCTAAAGTCAGTGACATCTGATTGTCAATCCTTCTGCAAGTGGGAACATATTCCCCTGTCTACACTGTCTAGCCCCTCATCATTTTCAACACCTCTATCAACTCTGCTCACTGTGGAGGAGAGCCCTGGCTTTTCCTATGAAAGCACGTCCCTCTTCCCCGGTAACCCTCTCATAAATGATCATCACCTCCTCTCAGGCTTTCACATCTTTCCTCAGATATTGGGCACAATATTCCAGTTGAGGCCGAATCAATGTATTATAAAGGTTCACTTGTATTTCCTTGCTTCTGTAACTCTGTAGTCCTGTTATTAAAGTCCAGAATCCCATGTGCCTTTCTAATCACTTTTTTCTCCCTGACAGCTACGCTCAGTGACCTCTGAACTAACACCCCATGGGGTTTCTGCCCCTCTACCCACTTTAGAACTGTACCTGTCTCGCTCTGCCTACCAAAATGAGTCATTTTGCATTTCTCAATATTAAATCTCATCTGACAAGTATCTGCCCACCCCAGTTGCCTCTGTCATCATCCTCCTTCACAGTTTATGACTGAATAAACCTTTCATTATCCAGCCCTATAGGACCAGGAGTGTGCTGATTGATCAAATATTTGGGATAATCAAGAGGCTCTCACATAATCAATGTAAAAACACACACTAAGTAATAGAAATGTAACGCAGGAGATATACACATAACTGTCATATTTTATTTACAGCATAAATCACTTACATAATAACGCAACTTTGTCTTAAGTAATACTTACCAGCAGAGAGACTCCCACTCACACTCTCACTGGCGTCATGACAATAGGTCGCGGTATTTGAGGTGAAATTGACTCGAAATTGAACCAACTGTTGATATTTTGTGTAGCCATTCAATTGAACAAGTATATTTACATTGAGATAAATAGATTTTTACAAAATACAATAATTAGACAGAAGAATACAGTAAACATACCAGTATTTGAAGTATACTCGTTTTGCCTGTTTATCGAGAGTGATGGTTCAGAACTGAAGAAGGGTCATTGGACCTGAAACATTAACTCAGCTTTCTCTCCACAGATGCTGCTGGACATGCTGAGTTTTTCCAACAATTTTTCTAATTTATTTTCTGATTTCCAGCATCTGCAGTTCTTTGGTTTTTTGATCATAACTTAAGAGTCATAGTGTAATAGAGCTGTACAGCACAGAAACAGACCCTTCAGTCCAACTCGTCCATGCCAACCAATATCCTAAATTAATCTAGTCCCATTTTCCAGCATTTGGCCCATATCCCTCTAAACCCTTCCTATTCATGTACCCACCCAGATACCTTTTAAATGTTGTAATTGTACCAGCCTCTACCACTTCCTCTGGCAGCTCATTCCAAATGCACCACTCTCTGCATGAAAAAGTTATTCCTTAGATCCCTTTTAAATGTTTCCCCTTTCATCTTAAGCCTATGCCCTCTTGTTTTCGAATCCCCCACCCTAGGAGAAAGAGCTTGTCTATTCACCCTATCCATGCCCCTCATAATTTTATAAACCTCTACAATGTTACCCCCACCCTCTGACACTGCAGGGAAAATAGCCCCAGCCTATTCAGCCCCTCCCTACAGTTCAAACCCTCCAACCCTGAAAACATGCCTGTAAATCTTTTCTGAACCCTTTCAAGTTTCACAACATCTTTCCTATAGTAGGGAGACCAGAATTGCACTCAGTATTCCAAAAGTGGCCTAACCAATGTCCTGTACAGCCGCAACATGACCTCCCAACTCCTGTGCACTGTCCAATAAATGCAAGCAAACAAACGCTTTCTTCACCGTCCTGTCTACCTGTGACTTCACTTTCAAGGAACTATGAACCTGCACTCCAAGGTCTCTTTGTTCAGTAACACTCCCCAGGACCTTACCATTAGGTATATAAGTCCTGCCCTGATTTGCCTTTCCAAAATGCAGCACCTCAAATCTATCTAAATTATACTCCATCTGCCACTCCTTCTTTGTTCTTGCAATATATGTCCCTATTGATGAAGCCCAGGGTTTTATTTAAACTACTCTCAACTATGTTTACATTTCCACTCACTTCCTCTTCATAAATTGAGTAGGTTTGCTATTTGTTTCGTTGACTCCAGATTCCTTTCTACACCTATCACTTTCCCAGTGTTTCTTTGTTGCTTTTTAGAATTCGTTCAGTCCATTGGGATCTCGACTTCTCAAGTTTGTGTAAGCCTTATATTTCAACCGTCTCTTACCTCACTGGGTGCGTGAAGTTGCTTTATAGCTGGGGCTTTTGTCTTTTAGAGGGGTTTACCATTTTGTTTTCTATCAAATATTTCTCTGAATTTTTCCCATTATTTGTGGATTTTTCATTGATATTTCAGCCCAATAGATGTGGTCAGCTCCCACCTTCAAACCCAACATCAAATTCACTCATATTCTGATTGCTATGAACTACTTGTTCCCTGGACATCAGATTATTAACCAGTTTATACTTTATCATTCATCACTAAATCAAGAAAAGCCTGTTTAATTCTAAAATAAATTGTTGCAGCATATCGCTTAAAGGAAGGAACAAATTACTGCAGATGCTGGAATCTGTACTGAAATCAACAAATGCTGGAGATCACAGCGGGTCAGGCAACATCCATGGAGAGAGAGAGAGCAAGCTAACGTTTCGAGTCTAGATGACTCTTCATCAGAGCTGAAGTGAAGTGTGGACAGGACAGGCATTAATGCTATACTGGTGGGGGGGGGAGGTGGTGGTGGTATGGGGGGGTGCGTGTGTGTGTTGTGGGGTGGTGTAGGGTAGTGGGTGTAGGGTGCTGGTGGAGAAAAGATGTCAATAGCTCAGATTAAGTGATCAGAATGTGAGAATGGCAGAGAAATGGTATGTCTACCTGCCAGACCGAAAAGGACAGTAACTGGGATGGTGGCAGGGGAGAGAGGACATGATAACAAGCTAAAAGGAAGTGAAGGAATGTTCACAACACCTTTAAATTGTGAATAATTGTGCAGCTCATTCTCACTGATATAAAACAACTGCTGATGCTGCAGATCAGAAACAAAAACAGAAATTTCTGGAGAAACTCTGACGTGGAGGTGCCAGTTTTGGACTGGGGTGGACAAGATCAGAAATCACACGATTTATAGTCCAACAGGTCTATTTGAAGATGCAAATTTTCAGAGTCTTGCTCCTCCTCTAGGTATTAGTGAGACAGGTAGTAGCAGACGCAGAATTTATAAGCAGAAGATCAAAGGGCCACTGAACTGATGCGGTGTTGAACAAACTTATGATGGCTGTTAAATCTTCAATTAGTTACTAAGGATTAATATGCAAATTCCCAAATTTCTTTCAGGTCACTGCCCTGAGATAACTAAAGGTTTTATGAGTTCCCTCAGTATGCCAGAGGTGTCATCCCAGGTCAGACAATGCATTTTAGGTGTGAGGCTATGTTTAGAATCTGGCTGTGTATCAATTTGGGAGTCAGACTGGTTTTATTTCCAAAGTAGGAATTTATAAAATGCCATGTTGTTTGTGTGGAAAAGAAAGAGAGAGAGACACACACATACACACACAAATTTAAGGGTGAATTTCCATTTGCAGATTTGTATTTGCAGGTACATTCTAATTTGTTCAAAAAGCACACCATTTATAGACAGTCAACGTGATTTTTGACCTGGAGAAACTCAGCAGGTCTGGCGGTGTCAGTACAGAGAGAAAGCAGAGTTAACAATTCGAGTCCAGTCACCCTGCTTCAGAACTGAGCTTACTGCGCTGTTGCTTATAGATGCTGCCAGTCTTGCTGAGTTTCTCCAGCAGTTTCTGTTTATATTTCATCCCTGCTGACAGTGAAGTTCAGACTGAGGCTGACTTACGCAGTAATGAGACCATTTGCCAGTCCCCGTACTTTTCGTTGTTCTTTCCAGGGGTTCTCAACCACGCGCAAGGGATACTTCCCTTCCTGACGCAAAACTTGTTCAATCAAGCTGTTGTCAGCCACATTCACTATGGACCCCATTCTCCACAATGGCCCAAACATGTTCTGTTCTATTATCTAACAAAGCAAATGTTAATAATCAGATTTACAAACAGAACTTTGCCTCCTAACATATGTTTAACTCCTTACCATAATTATGTGCAAAGGTGAACTGCAATAACTCATCAGTCTATATTCTTTTGGGAGAATTATTCAGAATCACAGGGTCATCACAATAAAGAAGGTGGCCATTCAGCCCACTGGTCTGTGTTGGCTCTGTGAGCATTTGCACTTAATGCCAATTTCCTATATTTAACCGTAACCCCTTACATGGTTTCTGTCATTTTTTAGGATGTAGGTCTTGCTGGCTGTACCAGTATTCACTGCCATCCCTAATTGTCCCTTTGAAACGAGTGGATTTTTAGGGCATTTCAGAGGGCAGTTAAGAGTAAACCAAATTGCTGTGGGTCTGAAGTCACATATATTCCAGATCAGGACGGCAGATTTCCTTCCCTGAAAGGACATTGGTAAACCAGATAGGGATTTCCAACAAATTGACGTAAGGTTATAACTATGTGTCTGCCCATAAGGAGGTGAAGGGAATCCTCCTTCCCCTTGATCCCCTCCCAGGTGAGTCCCAGTCTTTCTCCCTGTGCCCCAGATGAGACTCTGGCCTGTCTACCCCTGCCCCAAGTGAGACTCTGGCCTGCCTACCCCTTCCCCAGGTATGTCTCTGGCCTCTCTACCCCTACCACAGATGAGTCTGCAGTCTCTCTCTCCCCCTCCCCCAGGTGAGTGTCTGGTCTCTCTCCCCCTGCCCCAGGTGAGTGTCTGGTCTCTCTCCCCCTCCCCCAGGTGACTATCTGGTCTGTCTCTCCCTCCCCCAGGTGAGCTTCCTCTCCCCGTTTACCTGGAACAGGTGTAACTTTTTGAAGTATCCCTTGATGAAGAGCCAGTAGAAAGTGCTCCATCCACTGTGTCCTGGCATAGCCTGTAGGGGTTTGGAGCGGAGGGCTGTGCTCTCTGTGGATGCAGGTATGTTTGAACAGTGTCTGACATCAGAGTGACCACAGACAGCAGAGTACCAAGCTGGGATAACTGACCAATCCCATCGCACATAGATTCCCCTGCTCAGCACCGGTCTCATCACAGAAAACATGCTCAAGCTTCACAAAAATGTAATCAAATGCTGAAAAGCTATCACGTCACACAATATATACTAATCTCTACCTCGTGCCTGTACCAGGGTCCTAGTGCTCAAAGGCTTGATATACTTATTGAGAATTCGGGGGTAAAAGATTAGCAACCTTGGTTTGAAATTTGTCCTCATAAAAGCTCATCTTCCCGCCACTTACTCAGCCAGTCCCCTGTTGAGAATTTCTCCCTTAACCTCAGTGTGTCACAATCAGATCTCCCAGTCAAGATTCTGGGTTCAAGACCACTCTCATGGTAAACCTCATTTATACTGACTATTGAGGGAGTGCCACACTGTCGGAGGGTCAGTGCTGAGGGAATGTCGCACTGTCGGAGGGTCAGTGCTGAGGGAATGTCGCACTGTCGGAGGGTCAGTGCTGAGGAAGTGCCGCACTGTCGGAGGGTCAGTGCTGAGGGAGCGCCGCACTGTCGGAGGGTCAGTGCTGAGGGAGTGCCGCACTGTCGGAGGGTCAGTATTGAGAACTAAGCCTCTCATCTAAGGAAGGATGTGCTGGGTTTGGAGCAGGTCCAGAGGAGGTTTACTGGAATGATGCTGGGGATGAGGGTCTTGTCATATGCAGACTCTGGGTCTGAAGATGAGGGGAGATCTGATTGAAACTTACAGAATACCGAGGGGCCTAGATAGAGTGGGTGTGGAGAAGATGTTTCCACTCGCAGAAGAGACTAGGACACAAGGGCACAGCCTCAGAGTGAAGGGACAACCCTTTAGAACTGAGATGAGGAGGAATTTCTTCAGCTAGAGGGTGGTGAATCTGTGGAACTCAGTGTCACAGAGGACTGTGGAGGCCAAATCATTGAGTATATTTAAGTCAGAGATACATAGGTTCTTGATTGGTAAGGGGTTCAAGGCTTACAGGGAGAAGGCAAGATAATGAGGTTGAGCAAGATATCAGCCATGATTGAATGACAGAGCAGATTCATTGGGCTGAATGGCCTAATTCTGCTCTGATATTTAATGGTGTTGTGGTGTTACAGTTCTTTGTGCTCTCCCACCGTGTGTATTGTGTGTGTCTGGACAATGAGTGTAGAGCAGAGCGGGGTTCACTAGATTGATTCCAGAGACAAGGGGTTTGTCGTACGAAGAGAGATTGAGCAATTTAGACCAATAATCTTCGGAGTTTAGAAGAATGAGAGGAGATCTCATTGAGGTCGATAAGATGCTAAAGGGGATTGACAAAGTAGAAGTAGAGAAGATACTTCCTCATTCCTCATCACTTTAGGATAAAGGGGGCACATTTAAAAAGGAGACGAATCTGTGAAATTCACTCCCCCAGAGTGCGGTGGATTGTGGGACATTGTGTGAATTTAAGAAGGAGACAGACAGATTTTTAATCAGTAATGGAGTTGAAGGGCAATGGAGCGTGGACAGGAAAATGGATTTGAGGCCAAGATGAGATCAGCGATGATCGTATTAAATGGTGGGGCAGGCTCAAGAGCCTGAACGGCTTATGAGTTTTTATGCTTTTATGAATGATGGTGCAATATTTGTATGATTCAATCTTGATCCTGTTTATGCATCCACTTACTCAGGGACATTGTGAAGTAGCCAGGGCTAGGTTCTGAACTGGTTCAGGTATGTAGTTCTTCCGGGTGCTCCAGTTTCCTCCCACAGTCCAAAGATGTGCAGGTTAGGGTGGATTGGCCGTGCTAAATTGCCCATAGTGTTCAGGGATGTATAGGTTAGGTAGATTAGCCATGGGAAATGCAGGGTTACAGGGATAGGGTGGGGGGTGGTGGTGGTGCCAGTCTGGGTGGGATGCTCTTTGGAGAGTCAGTGTGTTGGGCTGAATGGCCTGTTTCCATGCTATTGGGATTCTGTGATGTTTCAGTGAGGCCTCTTCTCGAGTACAGTGTACAGTTCTAGTTGCCCTGCTATAGGAAGGATGTTATTAAACTGGTGAGGATTCAGAAAAGATTTACAAGGATGTTACCAGGGCTGGAGGCTTTGAGTTATCAGGATTGGCCGTGATCTTTTTCCTCACTGGAGCATAGGAAGTTGAGGGGTGACCATATAGAAGTTTATAAAATTACGAGGGGCAGAAATAAGGCAAATAGCAAAGGTTTTTTTTTCCTAGGATGGGGGAGTTCAAAACTAGGGGGGGCATATTTTTAAGGTAAGAGGAGAAAGATTTAAAAGGGACCTGAAGGCATTTTTTTCACACAGAGAGTGGTTCGTATGTGGAATGAACTGCCAAAGGAAGTGGTAGATGTAGGTACACTTACAACATTTAAAAGACATTTGAAAAGGTACATGAGTAGGAAAGGCTTAGAGGGACATGAACCAAATGCAGGCAAGTGGGACTAGTTTAGTTTTGGAAATTTAGTCAGATTGGACAAGTTGGACTGAAGGGTCTGAACATGATCAAGTCACCCTCCAAAATCCCCACCAAGCTCCTCACCATTCTGATTTGGAAATATAACGCTGTTTGTTCAGTGTTGTCGGGTTAAAATACTCCTTGTTCTTACAATCTATACCATAAACTGATCAAGGCAAGTGTCCCACATGCCACCTTAACCACCTTGCCATATTAACCTGCTCTCCTCCCTTCAGGGATTAGTGGACAAGCTACCCAAGATCCCTCTGTTCCTCTGAACTTCCTGGTTCCCTGCCATTCATTGAGTGGTCCCTTGTCTTGTTCCTTCTTCCAGAAGTGCATCACCTCTCCTTTCTTAGGGTTAAATTCCATCTGATACTGATCTGCCCATCTGACCAATCCTTTTCAATCTTCCTGTAACCTCACATGCTCCCTCCTCATTGTCAGCCACTAAAGCCGATCTATGTGTCATTTGGAAATTTATTTATCACACCACGACACATTCTCATCTGCATTAATAAGGGACCCAGCATTGATCCCTGTGATAGGCCAAGCACGCCAGGCTCCAGTCACACAAATAGCATTCCACCCTCTGTCTCCTGTCACTAAGCCAATTTCGAATCCAAATTGCCAAGTCACATAGGATCCCACGTGCTTTTACATTCTTCAACAGTTTCCAGTGTGGCACCTTGTCAAAGTTTTTGCTGAAATCCATATAAGAATCGAAGAATGTAAAAACTACATCAACTAACCCACCCTTATCTACACACCTAGTCACATCCTCAAAAAATTCAATCAGATTTGTAAGGCATGACCTCCCTCTGACAAAGCCATGCTGACTATCCCTGATCAAACCTTGCCTCTCCAAGTGGAGATTGTTTCTCTCGTCAAAATTTTCTCCAATTGTTTCTCTACCACTGATGTGAGACTCCCTGGTCTTTAGTTCCCTGGTCTATTTCTACCGCCCTCTTGTAAAATCGAACCACATTAACTGTCGTCTAGGCCTCTGGCACCTCCCCCTGTAGTCAGAAGCGATTTGAAAATTTGGGTCAGGAACCCTGTAGTTTCCTCCCTCGTCTCCCACTGCAGCCTGGGATAAAACCCATCTGGGCCTGGGGATTTGTCTACTTTTAAGCCCATGAAAACCTCCAATACCTCTTCCCTTTTTATACCAATCTGCTTAAGAACCTCACAGTCCCTCTTCCTGAATTCCGCACCTACATCTTCCTTCTCCTAAGTGAAGACAGATATGAAGTTCTTGTTTAATACCCAACCAATGACCTCAGTTTCTCACACAGATTGC